CTCAAAAAAAAAAAAAAAAAAAAAAAAAAAAAAGTCAAAGAGAAAGAAAGAAAAAGGGATTTTCGAGCAAAAGCAATAAGAGAAAAAAGAAGGAAATAATATGTAAGGAAAATCCAATAGGCCTTGAAGCAGACTTCTCAAAAGAAATCTTACAGGCCAGGAGGAGTAGAAAGATATACTCAAAGTGCTGAAGGAAAAAAACAAAATCTGCCAAGCAAAAATACAGTACCCAGAAAAGCTAGATTTCAGAAAGAAAGGATAAATAATGACTTTCTTAAACAAAAAAAAAAAATAAGGTTGAGGGGATCTGTCACTACCAGACCTGTCCTATAGGAAATGCTAAAGGGAATTCTTCAAATGGAAAGAAAATGATATCAATGTGATTGTTACACTAATATGGTAATCATGGTATGTGAATCACTTATATCCCTCCTAAGAAGACTAAAAGGCAAAATATTTAAAATAATACTAACTACAACAATTTTAAAGAGATAAGCAATATAAAAATGCATATTGTGACATTAAAAATCAAAATATGGGGTAAGAAGGGAATTAATGTATACAGATGTTTTTGTGTGTTTGTTTCTTTTTTTTGAAAGTTGGTATTAGTTTTAAATAACTTATTTAAAATATACAACCAGAAAAAAATACCTAACCACAATGGAAGATAGTAAGAAAGAAAGAAAGAATAGTTATAAATAACAACTAGAAAACAAGTAAGACAATGGCAGTAGTAAGTCCTCACCTATTAGCAGTAACAATGAATGCAAATAAACAACATTCTCCAATTAAAAGACAAAGCGTGGCTTAAAAAATTAAAAAAACAAAACCCAACTATATGCTGCCCATGAGAAGAACTCTTTGCCTATAAAGATACATGTAAACTGAAAATGAGGAGATAGAATAAAATATCCTATGGAAACGGAAACTAAAGAAGAGTAGCTATACTTATATAAAATGGACCTTTAATCAAAACCTTTAAAAAAAAAAAAAAGAGCAAAAAAGATCATTATATAATTTAAAAGGTCAATTAAACAAGAGGATATAACAATTGTCAATATACATATGTGCTCAACATCAGAGTCCCAGATATTCAAAGCAAATATTAATAAATCTAAAGGGAGAGATGGATTGCAATACAATAGTAGTAGGGGATTTCATTACCCCACTTGCAGAAATGGGCTGATTATCAAGACAGAAAATTAGCAAAAAAAACTGGAGTTAAACTAGATTCTACACCAAATGAGCCTAACAGACATTTACAAAGTATTTCATTCAACTGCTGAAGAATATACATTTTTCTTATCAGCACATGGAACATTCTCTGGGATAGGCCATATGTTAAGCCACAAAACAAGCCTCAACAATTTCAAAAAAGTAAAGCTATATTAAAATCTTTTCTTACCACAATGGAATAAAACTAGAAATCAATAGAAGGAGGAACTATGGAAACTATAAATACGTGAAATTTTAAAAACATGCACCTGTATGACCAATGGGTTGATTTGGAAATTAAATTGAAATTTTTAAAAAATTTATTGAAATAAATGAAAGTGTAAACACAAAATTCCAGAACTTATGCGATATAGTAAAAGCACTACTAAGTAGGAAGTCTAAGTAATAAATACCCATGTCCCCAAAATAGAAACACTTAAAAAAAAATCTAATGACACACCTCAAGGAACTTTCAGAACAAACTGAACCCAAAACTAGTAGAAGGAAAGAAATAATAAATCAGCATAAATAAATAAAATTAGAAATAAAAAGGATTTTAAAATTGGCCAAACAAAAATTTGTTTTTTAAAAAAGATAATTAACAAACCTTTATCTAGACTAAGAAAAAGAGGTAAAGTCTAGATAAATAAAACAAGAAATTGGAAGTAAAGATTGCAACTGATAGCACAGAAATATGAAGGCTCATCAATCATAGACTACTATGAAAAATTATGTGCCAACAAATTGGAAAACCTAGAAGAAATGGAAAAATTTCTGGACACATACAACCTATCAAAATTGAAACATGAAGAAACAGAACACCTGTACAGAGCAATAACACATAGCAAGATCAAAGCCATAATAAAAAGTCTCCCATCAAAAAAAACCCCAGGATCGCCGGGCGCGGTGGCTCAAGCCTGTAATCCCAGCACTTTGGGAGGCCGAGGCGGGTGGATCACAAGGTCAAGAGATCAAGACCATCCTGGTCAACATGGTGAAACCCCGTCTCTA